ACAAAAAAATCTTATATCTGCACCTATTTAAAAAAAAAACAAATAATAAAACAAAACAAAAAGAGTTCACTCCTAAAACAGTAACTCTTACAAATACAGACTAAACAATTTCATATTTCTTCAACACTTTCCGTTTCATCTTATTTTTAAACAAAGTGATTGATCCAATAATTTTATAATAATTTTCCAGATTATTCCATGGTCTTATACCTTTGACTGAAGTGCATCTGTCCTTCAAATTTGTTTGGATTTTTGTTTTAACAAACATTTCTAGTCCCTTCAAATTACAGCAGCTTTTCCTTTTAACATAATTTTACTGTTCTTGAATCTTGTTTAGAGCTGCTGGTGCCCCCAGGTGCTGCCAATCAGGTGCACCTGATTGGCAGTAATAAGATTTATTACCAAGAAGCATTGTTGTAACAAAGAAATAATCAACCAAACACATATTTCCTTACTTTTTGTGCGATGCTTATTATCTTACCCATTGTAAAACGCTCTCTGAGCTAATGTCGGTTTAGAGAAATAAAAGTTTAATTCTGACAAGATTCATTAGCAAACAAATAGTCCGTGCAGGGTCAAAATCAAAGTTCCCCTTTTATTCTGATAATTTGGGCCTCCGTATCTTTTTGAAATATTGTGATTTTCTTGCAGGCACTGCCCTGGGCTACAAAGAAAGAGTTCCTGCCATTTGTGTTTCATTATTCAGAAATTCTTCAAAAATAACCATATAATATAAAACAGCTGTTGATTAAAGAATAATCTACAGCAGGTAAGATATTAACCGTTCTCCACATAACCCCCATTTCAATTACTGCTTTAAGAACAGTATCTTTTAGATTTTTTTTATGTAATTCTTTGTCAGTTTACACAGTTTATTTTTGTAACCTGATGCTTTCAGCTTCATCCAGAGGAGGAAGACATCACTTACTGACCTTAACCAGGTAGCAATTCGATTTAGTCTTTCTCGGTATCGAAAGGCGCTCGACAGTTTCACAAGAACGTGTTGAATTTTTAATAAAGTTCACTGAACTGTTTTCTGGCAGAGCTGCTGGCCATTTGGAAGACAAAGCAGATGTAAAGCATCACATGTACTTCGATGTTAGACATGAGACTGACCACCATGAAGCTGGTGGATTCAAGTTTGAGAGCAGATGTATTTTATGTACGCTTCGCATTTGTAGTATTTGCCACTGTCAGGGTATTAAATGTAAACAGATAGAAAAAAATGTTTTGGATTAAATAGAGCACATGTAAATGTTAAATTATGAATTTTACGTCAGTTCTGAGGTTTAGAGCTTTGGTAGTGATTTTAGAAAGATAAACTTGTGATAAACACGTGTGTTGGTGAGAACAAAAAGGAGGGGTTACATTTAGCCCAGGAGTTTGTAGATAGTGGCGTCCTTCCTCAGTGGTGCAGCCTCTTGGATAAATATCTGCAAAAACACACAAATGAGCAAACAGAATTGGGATTTTTTTAGTAAATTTGTAGTTTTTGATTCACTTTTCGGTGCTTTAATTGCAACGTGGAAAAAGCTGACAGTTCCTGCAAGCGTTCATTATTTTATCTGGGCGCCTACCTCTCCCAGTGTTTGTGGTTGAGTCCACTGAAGTCCTCGAGCTTGGCGATCTCTTTCAGGTACTGAGCCAGTTTATGGAGCTCTCGGTCCCTCTCTCTGTTGAGATGAGCCTTCATGAAAGGTCGGATCTAGAGCACGTTTACGCGAGGTGAGTTTCAGTAGAAAATTAAAACACAAAGACAGCAAAATAAGGAAAAGTGCCACGCTACCTTTAACCCATTCTGTGGATTCATGAGGAAGTTTCGCCCTATGTCATCGAACATGATGGTGTTCTTCCTGTTGTAGAACGTTTCATACTTCCCCCATACAACACCTAACGGCTTCACCTGTAGATGTGCACGCCATCAAAACACAGAAAATCACTGTCATCACCTCACAAATCAAAAACACCAAAAGGGAACATGCTTTTCCTGCAGCTGTCTTTAGCATCAACACTKGATTCACTAATATCCTAACTGTGTGAATGCTTCATAGCATTCACACTACTGAGATCATTTTTTCTTCCGTAGGTTTTTTGGACTCTAACTCGTTCCACAATTTTTGTTCTATTTCAACAAATCATGTATGAAAAAGTTCAGCTCATTTATGACAATCCTGCTATGACTTTTGGTATTTCAGCTATTTTTACTTTTTCAGCTATTTCACTTTTTTAGCCACTATTTTGCCATTGAAAATGAATGGAGCTTTTTTCAACATCCTTAAAATCCTTTGAAATGTTTCTAAATCTTTACAGATCCTTACACCTTTTGGTCTGATACTGCTCTTTTTAATTTCCCTGTCTGAATCTTTTGCTACGTTTTTGCTATTTTCTGCTATTTCAGCTAAAATTCAGCTTTTTTCTACCTGTGTGCTTTTTTTTTTTTTTTGCTAATTTGTGCTAATTCTGCTCCTTACAGGTGCATTCTGCTATTTGCATTTATTTGCTGCAACTTTAGCTGTTATTAGCTAAAGTTAGCTTTTTTAAACTAAATACACAGTTTTTCTAGCTAATATAAYGTTTCTCTGCTAAGTTCTGCAACCTTAAGCTCATTATGCTTCATTATGCTAATTACAGCATTTCCAGCTACTTTTGAAGTATTTTACTAAAAGATTTGGCTGTTTTAGTTATTTAACTACAAATTGACACTTTTTTTTTTTTACATTTTTGCATTTTTTTCTGCTAATTTCACTTTTTTTTCATTATTTGGGTGCTAATTACAAATTGTGGATGCTACAGTTAGCTTATTTTATGCTTAATTTTAGCTTTTAATTATAGATCTGCTTCCTTTTGCTATTCTTTTTGCTTTTTTCTACTGTTTGAGCTTTTTTTCTGCGAATTTGATATTTATGCTTCTTACAGATGTTTTCTGTTCTTTTTAGCTATTTTAGCTTTTAGCTGTTTTCTGCTTTTTCAACTATATTTTTTGCTTCTTTTCTGCAAAGTTAGGCATTTTTGCTTCTTTCAACTATTAAAATTTGAACTTGCAATAACACTTTTGCTATTAAAAATGTTCCGCTCGATTTCAGCAGTGTTCAGCTTACGTCTTCAGCAAGAAGCATTCACACTAGCATTTTCACAGGAAATGCAATTTCTCTAGTTAGAGAATTTATTACTACTGTATTTATGAAAATCTCTGCATCTTATAAATTAGTTTAAACTGTAAAAAAGGTCATTAAGTGCAACTAAGGGCACAATATAAAGCTCAACAAAAGATAGTAAAAAAATAATCCAACATCCTTTTTATGTTACCCTGGTGTAATACATGAAACATTTTGTGGGGACACACCTCGACCACCCCTCGTTTTGGGGTGTGTACTGTGATCATGGCTCCGCTGTCCAACATGAATGTAATCTTGTAGTTTGGGTTATCTGTCACTCCGAGCTCCTGCATGGACACAAACAGCTGGGTTAATATAAGTGGTGTAACACTGCCACCTTGTGGCCAAACAATGGTACAGCACAGGAAACTGCAAGAGGGTAGCTGAGGCAAAATATGAAAGAAAATAAGATTTGTAATTTAGAATAAAAGCATTATGCAGAAATTTAACTAAAAGTTTATTTTGATTTATTTCCATCTTTTGTTTCTTGTACTTGAGTTTCTTTTATATTAATTTCCCTCTGGGGTCAATAAAGTATTTTTGAATTGAATTGGAATTGTACAAGAAACAACTACTACTACAACTACTCCTTTACTTCTAGTACAAGAAGTGACTTTCAAAAAGATGACTGATGAAAGATTGAAAAAAAAAAACTTATTCTCATTTGTAATTTGACAAATTAAAAAATAAAATAGTTTGAAATCTGCTGGTCTTTCTGCAAACAAAAACGAACAGGAATACTTACTTTCATCTTAGCTTCTATCCATTTCATACTTGTTGCAGCTACAGGAAAACAGGGAAAAAAATAAAAAATAACTCAAGTTTGTTGCACTTATTTTTTCTACGAAGACCATTTGTTCCTTCAGGTGATTAATTTCAGATGGTCATTTTGGCCTGAATGATCAGATAATGAATTAAACAYTAAAATCAGAGTTAACCTTGTTTTCTTTCCTCCAATATTCATTCCAACCAATAGAAGAGCCGAGCAGATACGTACACCATATGACAATATCATAGTCCTCATAGGCTGATGTCAGAAACTCATGAAGGTATGGCCTCATCAGCTCCTGACCCGTTTCTGCACATGACTTGTGGTCTGAAAACACACAGGATTGATTCAAAGTGTCCAAGATTAAACAGAACACAGATAAGATGAAATGTAGAGATGGATTTCTGTTTGGCAAAACAGTTTGTGAACCTTTACAGACAGAAAAACACTGAATCTATAAGTAAAAGCACAGCAGTGAGATAATGAGCAGCGTCTCTGTCAGACTCTTCTTTACTCACCAAACAGTGTGTAGTCCACATCTAACACCAGGAGTTTTTTGCCTTCTCTAGGAGGGTTCAGTTCCTCCACTTTATATTCTTTTACTCTTCTGGCTATTTTAGCCAAGTTCTCCTCTCTAAAGAAAAAGGAAAAAAAATTGACATAAACATACAAATTTACATTGTAACATTTTCTCAGATCCTCCCAATACTCTTTAATCAAATATACATTAAAATATCTAACCTGTTCTCCACCTCTATGACCTCTTCCTCAATGTCAAAATCATTGATGACGTCATCATTCTCTGGCGGAGGGGCCAAAACATCTTCCTTTACAGAACAAATCAGCACATTTAACAATCATGGAAGACTACACAACTCACAGAAATGAATTTATGACCTAGTAACCAGGATCAGTGATTTGTTTCAAAATGTGGGAAATCATTGCTCATCCTGTTCATMTCTAACCAATAGAGACAGTAACAGTAACGTCCCCGCTCTCTCCCTTCCACCTACCAAGCTTTCCTCTCTGGTGCCCATCATCATAATTTTGGTGTTAGGTTTCAGTTTCAAAGAACCCAGCTTCACCTCATCCTCTGCAGGTTTCCCTGAAGGAGGAAACAAAACAACAAAGGCAGAATGATTGCCAAGAAAACGATACAGCATCATCAGAAATTAACACAGTTACGGATTTGTTTAGCCTTCATTAATTCTCACACATAAATAAGATGAAGCATCAATATTGTGTCCTCTAATTTTATAGCAGCGCCCTCCTACCTTTGATCTTCAGCCCAAGAAGTTTCTGCCTCTCTGGCAACACCCCTGTCAAAGTCTTGATGGACTGTTTCAGGTCCATCACTGTGTCCTCCTCGGACAGAGAACTGATGGAGAACTCCTGCCCTCCCCACTTTATGATCACTGACACCGACATGGCTTACACGAGCTTTTCACGCACATACACGCGGCTGCAGCATAAACCTTCACCTTTACGCCAACAATAGCACGCCTCAACCTGGAGCTGTGTCAAACATGCAAACCCTGTAAACAGAAAGAGGAAGCATGGGAGTGGGACTGTGGTTAGGAAAAGCTTAAATCAATTAATACACGGAAAGCAACAACAAAACGCCGCATCTCTGTTGTTTATCTGAGTATTTAAAGTCAAAAGACACTTAATCAGAGCGAACACTTTAACTGTCCTCGATTACTTTTAGCCTGTGATGGCTAACTGCACCTAGCGGCGGTAAAAACACGCCGGGACAACTTGCTAATATTCACTGATACAAGCCAGAGTTYGTGTGTTCCTACCTGTCAGAACAAGCTAACACTGAGTGCTTAACAAATGCAWCAAAATGTCGCTGAAAGGGTAAGTGAATGAGTGAACTTGGAGCTTCAGTTTCATTAATAGACAAGCGCAAACATGACACTTCCGGGCGTCCCGAACATTACCGGATGTGACGTAGAAAAGCTTAGTTACCATAGCGACCACTACTCAGCACGAGACTGAAGAGACAGGTTTTGTTTACTTCATGAATTTGTTTATTATAGAAGCAAAAATAGCATTTGCATAAAAAGTAAATCCTTTTGTACTAATAAAAGTAGCAAAACACAATGTAATTAACTTGATAGTTTAACATATTTAACATATTTGAAAAAATTGTACACTATTATTATTATTATTTATTGATTTTTTTTTCGTGAAACTCTTGTTGATTTTGGTCACTATTTTATTTTTAATTTTTGGGGGGCTAGAAATTGTCCATTTTAGTTTTGTGATTTATATCTGTATTATCAGTCAATAAATTCATTGACAAATTCCTTTCCTTGAAAAAAAAATATTTATATACATCAAACAATATTTTTATTACTTTTTTGTATTAAAATTGTGCGACTGGCGGATTTAATGGGACAGACTCCAGTGCGCATGCGCAGAACATCCTCCAGTGCTCCGGTTAATGGCTGCCAGGATGGGTCGCGTCTTTTTGCTGTGAAGCACACCCATCTGGAGGACCGTTATCTCGGGCGGTGCCGAGCTAMAATGGTCGATACGCGACCAAACAGGCACCCGGAAACTCTTTYTCAAAGTTACGAACATCGTCCCTAAAAAGTAAGTCCTCTTTTATACGCTTTAAATCTTCACTTAGCGCAACAACAACTAGCCGCTATCTGCTTGTTAGTTTCGCTTTGGTGTTGCCCCCCCTTCCCCCCACAATTGGATTTAATCATTTTTGCTCTAAATAACAAACAGTTCAATATGCACGAACTTTTATGTAAATGTTTGTGGACCGATACATKCATGTTCATGTTAGTAATTTAGCTAAATGGCACCAATGCTACACGTTAGCTTAATTGTTGCCACTGCGCCAGCGCCTGCTCAATGCAGCTCATCACCTCCACAAAGCACGTACTCTCACTGTCACTTCTGTTTATTTCAGTCCCGTTTGCGTGCATAACGTGGCCTTTATTTTGTGGTTGCGTATTGGCTAGTCGAGGGTGTACATTTGTTTTGTCCCTGCTACACAATACGGAAACGTGCGTACTAATCTACTTAGCAAAGTGTTGCTTTCTATCTTGCAGCGCAGCTTAGAGATTTTTTTCCCCTGTCGAGACGGAGGGGTTACTAGAGTTCATGGCACGTACAGGAGTCGATGCAGCACTCACTCGTTCATTTTCAGTGCAGATTTACATTAAAAATAAAAAAGAAGAAGAAGCATAGCTACATGAAATCTATTTAGCTTCTGTGTTTGAATATTTTCTTATTTGTTTCAATTGGATTGACCAAACATGTTGGCACCTAAATGACAAATTCTTATATTAAATAGTGTTTTGTAGTCTAGATTTTTGTATTATAACTATTCAAAATGTGACCTGTCCTGTTATGTATAAGCTCTTGTTTAGTTTAGTTTAGTAGTTGTTGTTTTTGCAACTCATAATAAAAAAAAGACCATATCCAAACCTTGTTCAGCAGCACTTTTAGAATGAACCATCATATTAAAGCACAAAAGCCATTTTTGTAGTTTTCATATTTTATTTGGATGAAAATGATCTGCTTAGCCTGAATTTTTAAGTACTTCATTCAAGCCAAAGTACTGTCACTACATTTTGGCACAGTTTACTTCTAAATGGTTAACTTTCTTTTGATCATTTTTTAAATTTAACTTAGTTAAAATATTGATTTATTAGTTTTCAGATTGTTAGAAATTAGAATACATGTGTCAGTTGGCCAAATGAATGACCTATGATAGAAAAATGATTATTGTTTTAGTTTATAGCTAAATGAGCGTTGTGATTCCCTGCTGGTTTGTTTATGTGACTAAAATAAGACAGAAATTGCTTTATTTTTATATGCGTGGCCTTAAAACCAACTTTGATATTTCTTGCAGTGAAACCTGTTTAAGTCCAAATGTTGTCATGGATGGATTTAGACAAATAAACACGCAGTAGTTGACTGTATGTTACATAATGTAGGATTTCCAAAGCAGTCTCTGGCCACTGAATTCAGTTATGTAAGTTCTTAGGATCCTGTCCCACAGCTCCAGGATAACAACAAACTTAGAGGTTGGTGGGGAAAAAAAATCACAAAATTTCTGTTAATTTAAAAGAGAATTGAGATGTATTTTAAATCATAGAATAATGCTGTTGATTAAAGTAGGACCGTTTGGTTTAGGTCCTTAAGTCTCTTTGTTTTGAATGGTTTAGGGCAGACTCATGGGAGCAGAATCACCTAATCAAAGCAAGAAAATATGTTGTCTTAGGAAAACAGAAAATTATTATGAGACACTTTTAATCATTTTTGATGGTTAGGTTAAATGAAATCGTGACTGTAATTCCATTAGGTGTTTGTGCTTTACTTATGCAAGTGATTAAGAGATTGTTTTAATTTATCAAAACTCTAGGGGAGCTTGAAAAGGTCGGCCTGATTTACTGTTGTAGCTTACAACAACAAAAGAAATTACAAATCTGTATGGTAAAAAACATAGGTTAAACAAAACTTTGTAGTAATTTCTGAGTATTAGCAAAATAGTAGAGTCATTAGCACCGTCGTATGTAATGGCTAAAATTTATTTTATTTTATTTTATTTTTTTCAGTCATATCAGACTAATCAAAAACAACTGGAGCTGTTTCTACACAAAGTATACATTGCTTATGTCGTGATCACGTGTTTTGCTCTGTTAGTTTGAATGTGGGAGGAAGAAACCTAAAGGCCATAAAGACATTTGCACATAAACTGATTATTGACTGATTATATTTGCCAATGCAAAGCAATGCTGTGTGTAAGAGTGGAATAAAKAAGGAACATTCAGCTTCTTAGAAAAGTTAAATGTCTCATGAATGCATTAAATGAAAGAAGTTAGAAGTTCTCCTTTTTCAAAATGGCTGAATGTACTAAATTTTACAGTATAGTGTATTCTTCAGAAAGTGGATGTCTTTAAAATGTGATGAGATGCACTGCATGTCAGACAGTATTTTTTTTTCTTTTTTTGTGCTTACTTGTGTTTCATGTTTTGAGTTTACTGGCCAAGTAGTTTTATACATATGTTACATAAACTCAATTTCATAACTAATATTTGTTTTCTATATATCTGTATAGTAACTTATGCCTTAATTATTACCTGTCAAATAAATTCCTTCTTGAAAAACCTTGCTGATTAACTCCAGAATGATCAAATCACAAAAAAAACAACAAGAAAATTAAATCTAATTGATAGTTAAAAATGCTGATAAGAGAAAAACACAACTGGTGGCTTTATGACTGGATGCATGCACTGTTTACAACCTGCACTAGTTAATTGTTCATATAGCTACTGTACTCGTGGTAAATCTCTTTCAAACACATAGATTC